GACGAACGGAAAACCCAAAGGAAAATGAGGCGGGTGATGAAGCAGAAAAGCTAGAAAACCGAAGTGGGTGATGGGACAGGAGGAGATTTTGATTTGATGGGATAGGTAAACCGGGAAACGGAGACTTTCTGTTTATCATCTAAACAATCCGGAAAAGTGGAACGGCAAAAAGTTAGGAGTATTTTTGTTGAACAAACAACTGAATTTGGAGGGAATCTTTGTGAACAAAATAAAGAAGCCAGAAAGCCGGAGTGACAATGAGGCAGGAAATTAGACGGGCCGGAAGAGCCGGAATGATGATGAGTTAAAAGCCGGAAAGAAAGATGATATTTTACAACTTTTACTAATTTCTTAATGTCACTTGTTTTTGTCTTCCTTCTATTTTAAAATATTCTCCTATCAACTTTTACCCAGTTAAAAGAATTTTTATGTTAATGAAACGAACCAGCCGGAAAGTTATTGAGGCTTTAAGATTTTCTTTGATGGCGAAAAAGACGAACCGAAAAATCGCATTGATTTCTCCAGGATCTCTAAATGTGCATTCCTGTTTGTAGCGAAAATTTAACATTTTTTTTTTTTAGTCGGTCTATTTTCAATTGAATTTTCTGCGCTTCATTGATTTTTACTCGTTTTTAATTCATCTGAACGGCGGAATCTGTGTATTTAGTATCAAAATTACAGATTCGCTGAAATATGGCGAATATAAGCAGTCCACGGATTTGCATGTTGTTCGTGTAACCCAAAAGGACATCCTCATCGATGCCGTTATTTTTCACGAACGCTCATTGCAAATCAATTTTCACTGCTTGTAAGTCACATTCCTGGTCAAAGATAAGGAGGAATGCTTATCTGTTATTTTAAAATAGATATAATGGTTATTTTGGTCCCAGTGAGCATGGCGTAATAGGATAGTACTGTTGTCATACTAGCCGGCAAAACGATCAAAGGTTTGACTTCGCCAGTTGGGCAACCAGTCTCTTTACGATTCGTTCATTCGTTTCGATGGTAAATTAGTACTGACACTTGTCAGGGAGTCAAACTCATCATCAACTTGCTTCTAAGCAACCCTCAGAAGAGGGCGCCATCGACATCCTTAGCAACGTGTGGTTGCTGTTGGCATT